TCCGATTTATCAATGTTAAATTTTACGAAAAAAGTCTAAATTCGCCGAAATATGATCTGTGTACTGCCTTAACGTACCCGCGTACATTCATTCATTTGCAGGAATTATATAAAAAAAAAAAAAATAGTAAGTATTAGGGATAAAAAGTAACCCCGACAAACATGTCTTGTGCATTTGCCCACTAAATACATTAAGTATTGGGAATGATTATTTTTTTTGTATAAAAATACATTGCTGATGTATTCATATAAAAATATCATGACCACAATTAGCAGTTAACATCATTTATATCAGAGAAAAAATCTTTAAACATCTTAAATATGCTTTATCTTTGAAAGTTACGCTATTTTAAGAGAATACAATACTGTGCAACTTACTACATTGCTTATTTACTACCGATAATTAGTTCGTTCAATTATGTAAATCGCGCTTCATATTTTCCTTTTATTTCAGTTTAAAAAACAAAAACAAAAAACCTTAATCAAGTTTTACATTATTTTTATTTTAAAGATAAATCAAAATAATGCCAGAGTAGTTTACGATTGGACATACATGTACATTTATGCTGAATATGTTTTTTTTTTTTTTTTTTTTTTTTTTTTTTTTTTTGATTTTTAATTAAGAAGATCAATAATTTTGATGTTGATCTGGATTTAAACAAAAATTTAAATTCGAATTATAAAAATAAAATAATTGAATGAAAGCGCATACATATACATAACCTTGCACAGTATCTTGAGATGATGAAATGCTATAATCTGTCAAAAAGCATTTTCCTCCCTTTTTTTTAGTAACAATTGTAATACCCATTATTATCTTTTTTCTCTTTTATACATTAATACGTCTTGTCTGGTAAATTTACGCAATGTATATTAATTAATTTTAAAAATATTTAATAAAGAAAATTAATGTATAAATATAAAATGCTACCTGGATAATTAAAATATATATATATATATATATATATATATATATATATATATATATATATATATATATATATATATATATATATATATATATTAAATCATGCTTATTATAGTTTCATACTGTACATTAACACACTTTGCTTGTGCAACGTTTTATTTACATCGAATGACAAACTGGCATGCTGGTTGGTCGACGCGCTGATTGGATAACACGTCTTATTGCTAATACTGATTGACAGCTCTGTTACGCAACACCGAACGCGCGTTCGCTTTCTGTGTTCGCTATTGAATTTGGGGTTATCTTTCGGCTTTCGCTCTGGGTCCGCTGCGGGTTTGCTCGTGGTACGCTCCGGGTTCGCTCCGGGTCAGCTATAGCGAACTTCAAGTGAACCCGAAACGAACCCAGAAAGCGAACCTGGGGTGCGCTTTGGGTTTGTTTTCAGTTAGCTTTTGTCTGGTCGGTAATATATATATATATATATATATATATATATATATATATATATATATATATATATATATATATATATATATATATATATATATATATATATATATATATATATATATATATATATATAGATAGATAGATAGATAGATAGATAGATAGGTAGATAGATAGATAGATAGATAGATAGTATTTCCATCATTTATTGAACTCTTGTAGTGTAATATTGAGTGTAATTTTGTTCAATTGCAGATACCTTGCAGTAATACAACCTGCAAGCTAGTAAACAAGCTAGTTAACAAAGTACCAACCGGGAAGAGGCATGACAGAATTTGGTATGCAAAACTTGGCTTCTGGTGTGTAATAATTAATTCAGTGACATCTCCATAAAAGCGAAATATTCTCTGAATTCTTCTTTGAGCCAGGCAATGCTGTGACACATGACTTATTCTTATAATCTAGATGTTTGAGAATAATGGTCTCATCTAAACAACCCCACAACTTTCTTTTCAAATGCCGAAGGTCTGCAGAAGAAACAGTCGCTTCCTAATACATGCCTTATGTATGTCACGGTCCAGGAATCGAACCCAGGTCTCTCGCTTACCGAGCGGACATTCTACCAACTACCAACTGTTTCACTTTTCATTAGAATGTGATCTTTGAAATATGTTAGATAATTGGCCCATTTGCTAAATTGTTATGCTCTTTAACCCAATTTTGACTGTTGCTTGGGGTATGTATCATATGTGATATTGCTTTTATTAGTTATTTTTAACGTTTCCACTACTCTGTTGTCAAACTTGGTTTAGACTCTTATTTGTTTCATTACGTATCATATGTGATATTGCTTTTATTAGTTATTTTTAACGTTTCCACTACTCTGTTGTCAAACTTGGTTTAGACTCTTATTTGTTTTATTACGTATCATATGTGATATTGCTTTTATTGGTTATTTTTAATGTTTCCACTACTCTGTTGTCAAACTTGGTTTAGACTCTTATTTGTTTTATTACGTATCATATGTGATATTGCTTTTATTAGTTATTTTTAATGTTTCCACTACTCTGTTGTCAAACTTGGTTTAGACTCTTATTTGTTTTATTACGTATTATATGTGATATTGCTTTTATTAGTTATTTTTAACGTTTCCACTACTCTGTTGTCAAACTTGGTTGTGACTCACATTTGTTATATTTTGCTGTGAAATATTGGAAAAAAAATAATGCTCCCTAAGTTCATCATTTATCATGAAATAATTGTTACCCAGGTAGATTGCTTGAAATGAAAGTTTAGGTATAATATATTTCATACGATTTGTACCATGTTCATTTTCAATAGATATATGTATAATTTGGAAATGTAATTGTAATTGGAATCATTTTTCTGTAAATCCTAAACATGAAAATTTTAAAGAGTAAAGTTGTTTAGAAGAATTTTTAGCTGAATATTTTCAAAATGGCTTCACTCTTTTTTTTGAAATTTGGCAACATTGATTGATTGTTGTCATATTTTATGGAAATTATATGCTTTTTTTTTTTCAATTACTCTTTATATTGTAAAATATGAAATAAGGTTTCAGATTTCTCATATTTCATTGTGAGTCAATGGCCGATATAGGTGGCGTTGTGAGGACATAATGAAACGTTAAGAAACTTTTTTTAATGTTACAAATGAAAGTTGTTCAGGTAATATATAGCTTATGAAATATTGTACCATGTTTATTTTCCATTTAATTTTTTTTTTATTGAATTGTAATTGAAGACAAATTTAGAGCAGTCGTAAACCTGAAAATCTTGCAGGGAAAAGCTGTTCAGAAGAAATTCAGGCTGAATATTTTCAAAATGGCCCAAACCTTCTGATGAAATTTGGACAAATTGATTGATTGTTATTATCATTTATGAAAAAAATGCTTTTTCTGTTTCCATTATTCTGTTTGTGCTTTACAATTTGATTAAGATCCACATTTTATGTATTTTACTGTGAAAAATTTCAACATCATTTTCTTTATTGTTTTAAATTTTAGAACAGATGTTACTTGTTTAAAGATATATATATTTTAAAATTTTACGCTATCTTTCACTTATTTATTTAGATTGATGTAAGGACAATATTTTTAAGGAAAAAATTACACACAGTTACCACCCTTACTTCGATAGCCACCAGAGGGCAAACGGCTATACTCTATTTATTATATAATCAAGCATCCTTTATACATATGTGTATCCATTGAAACCAACATAATTTGTTTTCCATTACTTTGATCTCACACTCGTAATACCTTAAAGACTAATTTTTATCTACGGAACATTTCTCTAGGAAAAGGGGTGATAATTCGACCTCTAATATCTCTTTAAATTCCACTTCATTTTCTTTTATCCAGAGTTAGATGTTCCCTTCGATGGGTACAAGAATGCAAAAGCGAGAAAATGTGAAGCGATGAAAGATTCCACTTTAAGAAATACAACATTTAACGAAGGTAAGAATGTTTATCATCTATATAAAACTTTTAATTTGACAAAGTATAACATAAATATTTGATGTTTTCGCAAACCTTCTCATACGCTAAAGAGGTTTCTCTGATCAAAGTCTGTCCGGCATGAATCTTTCTGTTTGTCTTTTGGTTGACTTTTGTTGGAAAATAGCTCTTATTTCCAAACCATAATAACGTTTGACATTCCATTATGTAGATAGAGAAAAATATGTTCTTGAGATAAACAGACAAACAATAATAATCATTTCCGTGCAAAAAGAGTTTTGCAAAAAAGATTTCAGTTACTTTTATTCTTTTGCAAAAAGTGCAGATTCCAAGTGGGATTCTTGCCCAATCAGGGAATGGAAATCAAAATATAATGCAATTGAAAATCAGTTCATGTGTAGGACATTTTTATTCCTAAAAAGACAATGGTTCAATTATTTACAATTATGATGAACACCTATCTACGTACATAAAAAGTAGAATAAGACTTGCTGGAAAATATGCCATTGAACTAGATCGGGCAAAAGAAGATGTCAATATTTTCTTCCTTAATATACACACGATACAAAAACAAAACTATTTAAAGTTGATTAAAACATTTGAGTCCTAGAAAAAGATGTGAGCATTTACTGTCGGATGAAAAAAAAAAATCTCAAATTATGACTTTAGGGGCAAGGTTCTTGTCATTAGATGAAAAAATTTTATACACAAATAGTAAATGACAAAAACGAAGTGTCAGTAATTTTTTTCGTTGGTATAAAACATCATTACACAGCATATTGTCAGAAATAGGTAATTTTAAGTTAAATTTTTTGAGAAGAAAAAGTGTTTGAAATATGAAAAAGAGTCTTATTGATCGAATGAAAATCATGATATGATAGTTTTGACCCTTTCTTTATATTTTTTTGACCCCGTCAAATTAAACTTGTTAACAACCCTTATCATACATTTACTACAACATTTAATTATAGTTTATTAAAATATCATTTATATAAAGACTAATTTTTATCCACGGAACTTTTCTCTACTAAAAGGGATGATAATTCAACCGCTAATATCTCTCAAATACTACTTCATTTTCTTTTATCCAGAATTAGATGCTCCCTTTCAAGGGTACAAGATTCCAAAAGCGAGAAATTATAAAACGATGAAAGATTCCACTTTAAGAAATGCTACTTTTAATGAAGGTAAGAATGTTTATCATCTATATGAAACTTTGAAATTGAAAAAAAAAATTGAATATTTGAATTTTAGATCTCCTTCTCATAGGCTAGTGAGGTTTTTCGGATGAAAGACTGTCTGGCATGAACTTTCCTTTTTGTCTTATTGTTTGGGCAAGGTTCTTGTCATTAGACAAAAAAGTCTTCTACAGGAAAATTTAATGACACTAAGGTAGGATTGGGCGAAAGTAAGTTGTCAGTATTTTTTGGGAAAAAAAAAACCCAATCAAAAATTAAAAAATTAGTAAAGTTGATTAATAAAAAAATGATTTGGGTCATAGAAAAAAAAAGAGGAGCATCCTACTATCCGATGAAGAAAATTTTTCTTTAATTATAACTGTTGGGGCAAGGTTCTTGGCGTTAGATGATAAAGACTAGTACAGAAAAATTCAATGACAGAAGCAAAATATCCATAATTTTTTCATCGGGTTGAACATCTTTACACAACTTATTGTCAGAATTGAGGAAAGATCAAAATTTTTGGAGAAGAAAAAGTGTTTGAGATATGAAAAAAAAGTTTTATTGGTCGATGGAAAATCATGATATGATCGTTTTAACCTTTACATTTTTCACCCGTCAAATTACAATTGCTAACAACTTTATCATACATAAACTATGACGTATTTATTATAGTATAATTGAAAGACTAATTCTTTTTAGCTATGTATCGTTTCCCTTGGAAAAGGGATGATATAGGACCTCTAACATCTCTTAAATTCCACTTCATTTTCTTTCATCCAGAATTTGATGTTCCATTTGATATGTACGAGAATCGAAAAGCGAGAAAACGTAAAGCGGTTAAAGATTCCACTTTAAAACATACAACTTTTAATGAAGGTAAGAATGTTCCCTATATGAAACTTGGAATTTGACAAAGCGTAACATAAATATTTGATGTTTTAGTTCACCTTCTCCTAGGCTAAGGAGGTTTCTCTGATCAAAGACTGTCCGACATAAATCTTTCTGTTTCTCTTTCTGTTGAGTTTTGTTGGAAAATAGCCCACATTTTCAAAATAATTGTAACGTTTAATATTGTATTAATTCGAAAACATAGTGAAAATATGTTCATGAGACAAACAATAGTAAACGATTCCAATCAAAAAGAGTTTTGTAAAGATTTCAGCTACTTTAAATTTTTCGCACAAAATGCAGATTTCAAGTGGATTCTTGCCCAATCAGCGAATGGAAACAACAATTCATTGTAAAATTGGTTCATATGTATGATTTTTTTTAATTCCTAAAAACCGACTGTGGTACAATTAACAGTTATGACGAACACTTTTCTACGGACATAATGTATAGAATAACCTTTGTTAAAAAAATTTGCTTAATTAGCAAATGGAAACCACAGCACAGTGTTAAAAAGTTTCATATTTTATTCCAAAAAACGACAGTGGTTCAATTATTATGTTCCCCAAACGGAGTTTGGGAACATATTGTTTTTACTCGGTTTCTTCTTCTTCTTCTTATTATTAAGGTCTTCCGTTTCAGTCGGAAGACCTTATAGTGATTGTACTGTTTATTAAGGTCTTCCGTCTTCACGGAAGACCTTATAGTGATTCTACTGTTTCTTATTATTATTCTTTTTTTGACCAAAATTTTGTGCACGCGATTTCTCGAAAACTATTTAGCAGTTTTCAATGAAACTTTCACAAAAAATGAGTCATTATATGAACTTTGTTCATCACAAAGAAAATTTGGAAAATTCGCTTCCGGTTCCAAATTATGGTCAAATTCCTGATTTTTAAATAGAATTTTGTCCGCGGCATATCTAGAGAACGACTAAAAGTATGAACTAAAGACTTATTAGAGATTATAGAACATGTCTTCTAGATTACCAGAATTGCCTTTTCGTGCGTCGTCACTACTTCCGGTCGCTACCGGAAGCGAATTTAAAAAGTCGAATTTTTCAACTTTTTTGTTTTTCAATATATTTCAATGATATTAGTAGGGTTAATAGATACTCTTTTCAGAATGCATAATATATAATTTGTTTGAAAATTGATAATAAATATTATAATTTTATTAATATTTTTTTAGACAAATATTATGCACGCGATATCTCGAGAACTATTCAGTCGTTTTTCGTCAAACTTTCAGGGATAATCCTCTTTAAAAAGCCATTATTACATTTGTAAGAAATTTTGAAAATTCCCTTCTGGTTCCAAGTTATGCGCAATTTCCTGATATTAAAATGAAATGTTGTCCGCAAATTTTCTCAAGAGTGGCTAAAGAGAGGAACTGGACACTTGTCAAAGATAAAAGAGCATGAGTTATAGATTTGTGAAACGATTTTTTTATGAGTCGTCAGTACTTCCGGTCGTCACCGGAAGTGATCAAAGAAATCGAAAATTTCAACTTTACTTTTTTAAATCAAATCTTGCATCACATTATTGAAACTCTTTCGCAGTTTCGAAATATGTTGGTCCCACCGGAAACAAAAACGACAACTTCCGGTTATAAGAGAAAAACTACATAATTTGGGTATTTTACTTTCCCTTAAATATTCTTTTATAGAGAAAGTACTTGAAATGATTTTTAGATATGTTATTCAGACTGCCAATGTCTAGAGCAACGTCAAATATCTTTGGAAAATTCACTTCCGGTTGCGTGTTTTTTTTTTGTCCTCAAAATGAGAAAATATCTGAGCGAGATCTTAGAAACGGTAAGAGATTAACACACCAAACTTATAGGAGTAATATAGCTTGAAGAGTAGGCAAAGCCATTTGGGTTAAACTGTCAGTCGTCACTTCCGGTTGTCACAGGAAGTGATAAAAGAAATCAAAAATTTTAACTTTTCTTTTATAAATTAAAACTTGCATAACCTTATTGCACCTCTTTTGCTGTTTTGAAATATGTTAGACTCCACTGGAAACAAAAATGTCAACTTCCGGTTTTGGGAGATAAAATACGTTATTTCGATATTTAACTTTCTCATAAATATCGCTTATAGAAAAAGTATTGAAATGTTTTAATACATGTTGTAGATACTGCAAATGTCTAGAGACACGTCAGAGTTTTTTTTTTTTTTTTTTTTTTTTTTTTTTTTTTTACAAAATTCACTTCCGGTCGCGTGTTTTCCTGTCCTCAAAATTAGAATTTGTTTTCAAAATTGCTCGGCAACAATAAACGATTGAAGTCTGAAACTTTCAGGACGGATAGTCCGTCATCAGTTTATTTGCATCGTTTGAAAATTGTGTGTCGCCGTTACCACCGGACGTGACAGGAAGTGATGCAAAAAAGGGAATGGTTAATGGTTAGCACGTTGGATTTTCACGCTGACGACCAGGGTTGAATCTACAGAGTGTCTGAATTTCTTTTATCACTTTTTTCAGCTTGAATTTTCGTTTTTATTTTCAGAATTGGACGGAAGACCTCTCATTGCTCGCAATGAGTTTCTAGTCATTATTATTATTTTTTTCCCGTTTTTTGTCCAAGCGATTTCTCAGAGATGGCTCAATGGATTTTCTTGAAACTTTCAGAGATTATGACAAATAAAATAAACTAAAAAAGTTTTTAAGGATTTTGCAAAATTCACTTCCGGTTGTCAGATATGTCCGATTTCCGTTTTTTCAAAAGAGTTCATGTCCGGACGTTTTCTCAGAAACGGTAAAAGATTAAGACACTAAACATTCAGGGATTATAGATCATGACAAGTAGGTTTGCAGAATGTGTTTAAATCTGTCAGCCGTCACTTCCGGTTGTCACAGGAAGTGATCAAAGAAATCGAACCCTTTCAACTTTTCTGTTTTTGATTAAATCTTGCATGACATTATTGCATCTGTTTTGCAGTTTCGAAATATGTTGGTCCCACCGGAAACAAAAACGTCAACTTCCGGTTATAAGCGAAAAACTACATAATTTGAGTATTTTACTTTCCCATAAATGTCGCTTATAGATTAAGTATTTGAAATGGTTTTTTAATATGTGATTTAGACTGCAAATGTCTAGAGTAACGTCAAATATCTTGGTAAAATTCACTTCCGGTCGCGGGTTTTACTGTCCGCAAAATAAGAATTTGTGCAAGTGAGATCTCAGAAACGGTAAGAGATTTAGACACCAAACTTATATGAGTAATAGAACTTAAAGAGTAGGCAAAACCATTTGGGTTAATAGCGTCAGCCGTCACTTCCGGTCGTCACAGGAAGTGATCAAAGTAATAAAAAAATTTCAACTTTTCTCTTTTGAAATAAAACTTGCATCAAATAATTGAATCTCTTTCACAGTTTCTATATGTGTTGGTATCACTGAACCCCCCCCCCCCCAAAAAAAAAAAAAAAAAAAAAAAAACCGATTACTTCCGGTTATAAGAAAAAACTATGTAATTGGGATTTTTAACTTTCCCAAAAATATCGCTTATAAATAAAGTTTTTGAAATGATTTTTATATATGTTATTGAGACTGCAATTGTCTAGTGTGACATTAACCATCTTAGGAAAATGCACTTCCAGTCGCGTGTTTTTCTGTCCTCAAATTGAGATTTTATTCACCAAATTGTTCAGAAACAGTACATTGCTGAAGTCTACTTTCAGAACTGATAGTCAGTCCTCAGTTTATCTGCATCAAGTAAAAATCATACGTTTCCGTCACTTCCGGTCGTGACAGGAAGCGATGAAAAAAAGTGAATTTTAAAAGTTTTTTTTTTCTTTTTACAGAAATGTTAGGCTAATGCGGATGTTAGATAGACTATAACCATGCAATTTATTTTCACCGGAAGTGCCAATCGAAAAACCGGAAGTTGTCTCAAACATGAGTAGTTTTTCATGGAAACTTTTAGGGAGGAGCAGTTGTGAAAAATTTAGGTGTAGAATGTACATCTTATTCGTTTGGAGTACTTTCGTTCATGATGAAGTATATAAAGAAAACAGAAAAGTAATTCTATTTGTTTTTATTTGTATTTACATATCTTTGGAAGCCTTGAGATAACTTTTGTTAATTATTTAGAGTAATCTTATTGACAATATCGTGTTTTTTTTTTCGAAGAAGTCAAGAAAACGGAAGACCTGTTATTGCCTAAGCAATAAGTATCTAGTTATTATGTTCCCCAAACGAAGTTGGGGAACATATTGTTTTTACTCTGTTTTTCTTCTTCTTATTATTATTTTTCTTCTTCTTCTTCTTCTTCTTCCTGGGTACTTTTTTGTCCGCGAGTGATCTCGTCAACTACTCATCCGACTGAAGTGAAACCTTTTTAGGGTTAATAGGCATGTTATGTAGATTTGCGGAATCAAGGTCATTTTGCGCGCACGTGCATGCACGTGCGTGCGCGTGCAATGCGTTAAATGACCAATATACTTGATATAGCTGTAACTTTTATATTTTTTGATGAAATGCTTTGATACTCAAAATATAAGGATATATTAAAAGTGTAAACAAGATGACATGGTCAACATGCACTTACATGCACGTGTGCGCACGCGCAAAGCGTAAAATGACAATATATACTTGATATATTCGTAACTTTTATACTTTTTGATGAAATGCTTTGATACTCAAATTATTTATATATATTAAAAGTGTAGATAAGATGACATGGTCATCATGCACATGCATGCATGCATGCATGCATATGCTTGCACGTGCGCGCGTGCAATGTGTTAAATGACCAATATACTTAATATAGCCGTAATTTTTATATTTTTTTATAAAAAGTTTTGATATTAAGAATATACAGATATTTTAAAAGTGTAGACAATATGATGTGGACATCATGCTCATGAATGCACATGCGCGCGCGTGCAATGTGTTAAATGACCAATATACTTCATATAGCCATAACTTTTATATTTTTTTTATGAAAAGCTTTGATACTAAGAATAAACAGACAAATTATAAGTGTAGACAAAATGGCATGGTCATTAGGAACATGCATGCAGGTGCGCATGCATGCAATGCTAAGATGACCAATATACTTGATATAGCCGGAACTTATTTATTTTTTGATGAAATGTTTTGATACTGAGAATATAAAGATGCATTAATAGTATAGATGAGATGACATGGTCATTCTGCACATGCATGCACGTGCGCGCGCGTGAAATGCAAAAAACGATCAATATACTTCATTGCCTTATTTAATGAAGCTTACAGGAAATAAGACACCAAAAGGGTGTTGGGGAGCGTTTGGGGAACATCTGTAACGGTTCCCGTTACAATTATAACTAGTTATTATTATTCTTTTTTATCCTTATTTCTTCTCCGGTACTTTTTTGTCCGCGAGTGTTCTAGGAAACTGCTCATCCAATTGAGTTAAAACCTTTTTAGGGTTAACAGGTATGTTGTGTAGATGTGTGGAACGAAGGGTATTTTGCGCGCACATTCATGCACGTGCGGGCGCATGCAGTGAGTGAAATGACTGATATTCTTCATATAGCCGTAACTTTTACATTTTTTGATGAAATGCTTTGAAACTCATAATATAAGGATATATTAGTAGTGTAGACAAGACGATATGGTCAGAATAGCATGAACTCACGCGCATGCACGTGCGCTTTGCTCTGATTGGCTGGAACAAAAGTCTCAATATCTTTCTTCTGTTTTGACAAAATACTTTGAAATTTTAAACATAGTCATATATTAGGAGGTTCTACAGCGTGATATATAAGAAATCTCATGAAAGCACGCGCATGCACGTTTTCTGCAATCTGATTGGCTCAAACTTTGAATGCCTATAACTTTCTTGGTTCTCAATAAAACAGGACGAAATTTAGAATATGAATAGGTATAATGGATTACTACATTATGCTACTCTCAAAATTAAATGCAAGGACATGCATGTTTGTGCGCACGCGCACAATGCGTTAAATGACCAATATACTTGATGTAGCCGAAACTTTTAAACTGTTTGATGAATTGCTTTGAAACTCAAAATATAAGGATATATTAGTAGTGTAGACAAGATGACATGGTCAAATTAGCATGAACTCACGCGCATCCACGTGCGCTTCGCTCTGATTGGCTGAAACAAAAGTCTCAATATCGTTCTTGTTTTTTGACAAAATTCTTTGAAATTTAAAACATAGTCATACATTAGGAGGTTGTACAATATGATATATAAGAATCATTATGAAAACACACGCATGCACGTGTTCTGCAATCTGATTGGCTTAAACTTGAAATACGTATAACTTTCTTAGTTCTCAACAAAACAGGATGAAATTTAGAATATGAATAGGTATAACGGATTTCCACATTATGCTACTATCAAAATTGAATGCAAGGACATGCATGTACGTGCGCACGCTCACAATGTGTAAAATGACAAATATACTTGATATAGCCATAACTTTAAAACTTTTTGATGAAATGCTTTGAAACTCAAAAATACAAATATATTAAAAGTGTAGACAAGATGATATGGTCATCATGCCTATGCATGCACGTGCATGCGCGTGTAATGCGTAAAACGACTAATATACTTGATTGCCTTATTTAATGAATCTTACAGGAAATAAGACACCAAAAGGAAGTTGGGGAGCGTTTGGGGAACATCTGTAACGGTTCCCGTTACAATTATAACTAGTTTAAAATTATCATGCACACCTAGCTACGGATATTAAATATAGAATAAACCTTGATGAAGATGTGAGCACCCCCCCCCCCTCCCCTGTCGGATGAGGAAATTTATTCTTAAATTATGATTTTATGGGGCAAAGTTCTTGTCATGAAATGAAAAGGATTTATACAAAAATATTAAATGACAAAAACCAAATTGACCATTATTTGTTTCGTCGGTATTAAACATCCCTGCACAGCATATTATCAGAATTCAGGTAATATAAAATTAAATTTATGGAGAAGAAAAAGTCTTTGAAATATGAAAAAAAGTCATATTGATCGTAGAAAAATCATGATATGACAGTTTTGACCCTTTCTATATATGTTTGATCCCGTCAAATTAAAATTATTAACAACCTTATACATGTACTACAACATTAAAGAATAGTTTATTAAAAACTCATTTAAAGACTAATTTTTATCTACGGAGTGTTTCTCTAGGAAAAGGGGTGATAATTCGACCTCTAATATCTCTTAAAATCCACTTTATTCTCTTTTATCCAGAATTAGATGTTCCGTTGATTGGGTACAAGATTCCAAAAGCGAGAAAATATCAAGCGATTAAAAATACTACTTTTGATGAAGGTAAGAATGTTAATCATCTACATGAAACTTTGGATTTGGCAAAGCATAACATAAATATTTGGAGTTTTAGGTTAGGTTCTCATAGGCTACGGAGGTTTCTCTGTTCAAAGACTCTCCGGCATGAAACTTTTTGTTTCTTTTCTGTTGAATTTTGTAGGAGAATAGCACACATTTCAAAACATTTGTAACGTTTGACATTGCATTATGTAGAAAACATAGTAAAAATTTCCATGCAAGACGAGTTTTGTAAAGAAGATTTCACTGATTTTACATCTTTCGCACTTAGTGCAGATTCCAAACGGAATAGAACCAAATCAGCAAATGGAAACCACAATGCATTTTAAAATCGGTTCATATGTAAGATTTTTCTTTTTCATAAAAAACGGCAGTGGTTCAATTTCACAGTTATGATGAATATCTATCTACAGACATAAAATGTAGAATGAGCCTTGTTGAAGAATCTGCCATTAAGCTAGATAGGGTAAAAGTAAGATGTCAGAATTTTCTTGCTAAATATACAAAATCGATAAGATGGTTTTGAACCTTTTTTAATTGTTGACCCCGTCAAATAAAATTGTTGACAGCCTTATTATACATATACTACAACATTTAAGAATAGATTTTATAGTATCTTTTAAGACTTTTTTATGCACAGAACGTTTTTTAAGGAAAAGGGATGATAACTCGACCTGTAGTATGTCTTAAATTCCACTTCAATTACGTTTATTTATAATTCAATGTTACCTTCGATGGGTACAACAATCCAAAAGTGAGAAAATATTATTTATAATTGATTAAAACGTTTGGGTCACAGGAAAAAAAATCTATCACCCTGTCAGATGATGATTTCTTTTCTTGAATAATTACTGTTGGAGCAAGGCTCTTGTCATTAGACTGAAAAGTCTACTAAAGGAAAATTTAATGAAGAATGCAAAATGTCTGTAATTTGTTTTGTCCAGATTAAACATCATTGCACAGTATATTGTCAGAAGTGAGGTAATATTAATTTTAATGTTTTGAGAAGAAAAACGTGTTTGAAATATGAAGAAAACGTCTTATTGATTGAAAGCCATGATATGATCGTTTTGAAAAATTAATTTTTTTTTTTTACCCCGTCAAATAAAACTTGCTAACAACCTTATCATACATATACTACAACATTTAAGGTTAGTTTATTATAGTATCATTTAAAAACTATATTGTTTTAATTCGTAACGTTTCTATAGGAAAAGGGATAATAATTGGACCTCTGATACCTCTTCAATTTCCTATTAATTTTCCTTTATCCAGAATTAGATGTTTCCTGTGATTGGTACGAGAATCCAAAAGCAAGAAAAGATAACGCAATTAAAGATTCCACTTTAAAATTTACTACTTTTGATCAAGGTAAGAATGTTTATAATCTATGTGAAACTTTAAATTGGACAAAGCATATCATAAATATTTGATGCTCTAGTTCACCTTCTCATAGGCTAAGGAGGTTTCTCTGTTCAAAGACTGTCCGACATGAATCTTTCTGTTTCTTTTTCTCTTGAGTTTTGTTGGAAAATAGCCCAAATTTTCAAAACATTTGTAACGTTTGATGTTGCATTATGTAGAAAACAAAGTAAAAATATGTTCATAAGATGAACAGACAAAGAATGATAAACATTTCCATGCAAAAAGGGCTTTGTTAAGTAGATTCCAAGTGGATTCTTGCCCAATCAGGGAATAGAAATCAAAATATAATGCAATGGAAAATCAGTTCATGTGTAAGACTTTTTTATTCCTAAAAACGACAGTGGTTCAATAATTTAAAGTTATGATGAACACCTTTCTACGGACATGAAAAGTAGAATAAGCCTTGTTGAAGAATTTTCCATTTAAGTAGATCGGGCAAAAGTAAGATGTCAGTACTTTCTTGCAAAATATACACATGATACAAAATTAAAACTATTTAAAGTTGATTAAAATCATTTGGACCCTAGAAAAGATGTGAGCATCCCCCTGTCAGATGAAGAAATTCATTCCTAAATTCTGACTTTAGGGCAAGGTTCTTCTCATTAAATGAAAAGGATTTATACAAAACTATTAAATGACAAAAACAAAATGATTATTATTTTTTTCGTCGGTATTAAACATCATTACACAGCATATTGTCAGAATTCAGGTAATATAAAATTAAAATTTTTGAGAAGAAAAAGTGTTTGAAATATGAAAAAAGTCATATTGATCGTAGAAAAATCATGATATGATAGTTTTGACCCTTTCTATATATTTTTGATCCTGTCAAATTAAAATTGTTTACAACCTTATACATGTACTACAACATTAAAGAATAGTTTGTTTTTTTTAAAAAAAACTCATTTAAAGATTAATTTTTATCGACGGATTGTTTCTCTAGGAAAAGGGATGATAATTCGACCTCTAATATATCTTAAAATCCACTTTATTCTCTTTTATCCAGAATTAGATGTTCCGTTCAATGGGTACAAGATTCCAAGAGCGAGAAAATATCAAGCGATTAAAAATTCCACTTTAAAAAATACTACTTTTAATGAAGGTAAGAATGTTAATCATCTACATGAAACTTTGGATTTGGCAAAGCATAACATAAATATTTGGAGTTTTAGGTTAGGTTCTCATAGGCTACAGAGGTCTCTCTGATCAAAGACTCTCCGGCATGAAACTTTTTGTTTCTTTTCTGTTGAATTTTGTAGGAGAATAGCCCACATTTCAAAACATTTGTAACGTTTGACTTTGCATTATGTAGAAAACATAATGAAAATATGTTCATAAAATAAACAGACAAAGAATAATAAACATTTCCATGCAAGAAGAGTTTTGTAAAGAAGATTTCAGGTTTTTTTTTTTCATCTTTCGCACTAAGTGCAGATTCCAAACGGAATAGAACCAAATCAGCAAATGGAAACAACAATGCATTGTAAAATCGGTTCATATGTAAGATTTTTCTTTTTCATAAAAAACGGCAGTGGTTCAATTTTACATTGATGATGAATATCTATCTACGGACATAAAATGTAGAATAAGCCTTGTTAAAGAATCTGCCATTAAGCTAGACAGGGTAAAAGTAAGATGTCAGAATTTTCTTGCTAAATATACAAAATCGATAAGATGGTTTTGAACCTTTTTTTTATTGTTGAACCCGTCATATAAAATTGCTGACAGCCTTATTATACATATACTACAACATTTAAGAATAGATTTTATAGTACCTTTTAAGACTTTTTTTATGCATAGAACGTTTATTTTAGGAAAAGGGATGATAACTCGACCTGTAGTATGTCTTAAATTCCACTTCGATTACGTTTATCCATAATTCAATGTTACCTTCGATGGGTACAAGAATCCAATAGTGAGAAAATATTATTTAAAATTGATTATAGTCTGTCCCACGGTACCAAGGACCTCACTTTTCGCCTCATATCTCAAAATGTATAAATACCTTCTCCTTCAAACTAGGTTCGATCGATAGATCATTTCTTTTTCCATACTTCCTGCATTTATTCGAACCCTCGAGTTCAACCGGTGTATTGACACGGCGGCAAATTCAAAGTCTACGGGGATTTAACATTGCCAAAATGGCCGCAACTTCGGAAGGGGATCCATCATTATTCGTGATTTTCCGTACATCGCCGTCAGTGAATTAATGACGTAACACACGTTCTTGAATTCTCTGTGCTTACCGATGTACGGAACACAATACAGCCCGAGACTTTCCAAGTGCCCAACACACACATAAATATCAAAAAAGCGTCTTCGACGTACCCGGGAACAAGTGCTTAACACTGCTAAGAAAAGAGGTAAGATTTAACTCATATCTACTTCAGAAGTCATAACTGCACTGACAATGTAATGGAAAGAACGATCGAGGCTATAGTACAACAAAATTCAGCCAAGTGACATCATTGCTTGACCAAAACATAACATGATAGATCTATCTGTAAGCGAGTATTAGTATGTTCTAATAATTTAGATTTGTAATTAATTACAACTTTATCTTTGCCTCGCAAATAAATCCAACACACTAGGCAGTATACTATAGTTTGTTGTAAACACGGTTAAACAGTTTGTGAAGCATCACTTCTATCATGAATATTCACAACGCTTCCTGGCTTTGTTACATTTATAACTCTTAAGCACATACAAATCCACGTTTATACATTTTGAATCACTGTGCAAAACATGAAAACAAGATATACATGTTGTCTGCATCAAACTACGTCATCAATGGATTTGACCTTGCCCTTTGAAAACTTCCTGTATCGGCATTAGGTAAATGCAGGCCCTGGGATTTCAAACAATACTATGTATTTTTAATAGTTTTACCATATGTGTAGCAGTTCTGATGCCAAAAATAAAATACAGAGGTACATGTAGTAATCACACAAACCCCTAAACATGAATGGAAAACATTTTTTTTTAAATTTATTATGTTTATTTGTATACTTTATTTTTCTTTTAATGTAAAAACTTTTGTGACAGAAATTTCAATGATTTACAAATTAATAAAACTTTTAAGACCAGGAGTTGCATTTTAAATTTCAATGTGAAAAAATTCTACATTTGCAAGAAATGCAAGTCAAAGCCCTTTCATTATTTCTTTTTTTTTAAATTATAATAACAATGAAAAGTAATATAAAAAAATAGATAAAACTTAAGTAGATAAAACTAAATTAAGCATTTTTATTTTGAAACAAGAATTTGATTATTAGGAAAGAGAACATGAAGACATATCAGACAGACAAGAGCATGCAAACATGCACATTAAATTAATTCAACCTTAAGTAGGTGCAGAAACGTGCATGTAGTTTTCATTTTCTTTCTTTTTTTTTTAACTTGTCTACAGTCATCTGTGAAATCATTTTTAATTCAGGGGGTCAGGCCCATGGGAAGCAATTTAAGTGTGTGTGCGGGGGGGGGGGGGGCAACCAAACATTTTCAGTTCAATCTTGACAAGCCAAGAAAATATTTAAAAAAAAAAAGATCATCATTAAGTTTTATGTCTATATTTATCATATTAATTATTCAAACTATGTTGTCAAACCTCGTTATCCTACAATGGGACAATGGGACTGATAAAAACTTCTGAGATATCTGAGTATTCAAGATATCAAGGGTAAAATACTTCAAGAATTTTAAAGTGGTTGGGACTTCCAAATCACTTTGACATATCAATGGATATCAAAATTTACAACTTCTGCTTTGCAAATTAAATTCATACTGTGAAAATTGTTATAAAACTTAAATTACAAGTTGTAAAAATATCAAATCTCAAATTACTTAATTCTTAAATTAGTGAAATTACAGGGTAAAACCACTCAACATACTATGTTATTTGTAATTTTGTTTGAACTGTTTTCAGCATTTGAAGTAAAATTGAAAAATATTCCAAGAGGTAAATGAATTGTCTACCCTATATTTATTCAGATTATCTTTTAGATATTCAGACTGAAGAAGAAATGAAAGTAAAATGCTCAGTGCTACTGGTGTCCATGGTTTGAATGTCAATTGGTACAAAAGAAAAGTCATGACTCATATTGGACATAATAAACATGAAGCCGAGGAGAGAAACATCTATGAACGGATTAGAAAGTGAGTATTTTTCTCTCCGTTATATCACTAACACTTCAATTTGTGTCAAGCTCATCAAGTGATCACTAGGCAAACTCCCTGGTAATCTTTGGTTTAGACTATTTTTTGGGCCTGAAAAAGATATGCAATAATACACATATTAACTGGTGCATGAAAAAAAGAACAAAAAACAAAAAAAACTAAACTTTTAAGTCTCTGTAAAGTGAAATTAAGGAATAATGAAAATTCAAATTAATGATTTCATTTGTACATGTATCATGAATGCTTTCTGTACAGATGAAAAATACATGATGATTTTTTTAATTTCAGATACCAGGCCAAGTATACACTTCAGAAAGAAAAAAAGACATTTTTTAAATATTCATATAAATGTTTAAATGTACAGTCCCTGAAACGTTCTACTTTCCCATTTTTCCGTTCGCTCACCGTTCGTTCAGCGTGCGTTCACCGTGCGTTCACCGTTCGCTCTCCGTTCACAGTTTTGCGTTCACCGTTCACCGTGCGCTCGCGTTCACCGTTCACAAAGCGTTCAGCGTTCGCTCTTCGTTCCGTTCACTTTGAGTTCACCTTGCGTTCAGCGTTCACCTATCGTTCAGTTTTCATTGTTATTCGGAACTCCGAAGTGAAAGGACTTATCTTTTTGTAGGGAAGGAGTTACAGGTTTTTTAATTTAATAACTAACATATCGTGTTTGAAGAATCATTATTTTATGTTGAAAAATATCTACGATATATATTTTTATTATTCCATTTTAGTTGTTAGATTATTTATTAAATTACTCTGGAAAATAAATGCTGTTATAAGCACATTCTGTACCTATGTAGAATGATGCTGAAATGTTAAATTTAACTAAGGGCAATGTGCAAATACTTCAAGCACTGCAACATTTTTTTGTTTTGTTAAAGACGACAAATCGTTAATGGTGATATAATTATCCAAGTCAAATAATCACGCAGCAAAATTACGAAAATATTTATTTCTAACACTTTTTTCCCCAATTACTACAGAAAATATGATAGAACTAGTTCTGAGAGTTATACATAGTACTGAGCATATCCTGTTAATTTATTATCTTTGGAGCGAATTAAATTGATAGTATGGTTAAAGGAAATATTTATTTGAAATGTACTGCACTGCAGAATTTTCTCTACTATAATATGTAAAGTCTATAGTTATAGATAAAAAATTCTTCCTTCACCGTGACTTTATAGGTTTGCCATTCGATATGATTAATACCCCCCCCCCCCCCCCATTTTCCCCTAGATTGTTTACTTAGTCAGTACTGTATTTCCAGAATATTTTAATTAACATTTAAAAAAAAATGTAAGGTCTTTTTAGAACAAAAATTTCAGTTTCAAAACAAACATGCATCTAAAAAAGTCACAAAACAGTAGTAGTTCAAAATGTACACGTGTCGGCGGTGGTATTTGAAATTGGCGGAGAGTATGTTTCAAATTCAAGTGTTAATGCCCAATGTATTTTATTCATTTATTATTCAAATGTTGGGATCAAATCTAGAAATGATAAAAATAAATGTTATAACTTGTTGGAAATACTCGCACTTCGTCTTCGATGTGACGAAACTTTCACACCTGCACAGTGTCGAATGATTTTGATTGACAGGACAAGCACGTGGACTTCGTGTGAACTTGAAGCAGGAAAATAAAAACGAGTATGACGCGCAGTACAGTTAAGGCTACCCATGAAACTTTTATGGTAATGAGATCATAATGAGGTTTGACGTCATGACAGTCGCTCCGCCCTGATATATCTATATAAGGAATTAGAGCTCAAAATAACTATTTAACGACAATTGCAAGAATTTGTAACAAATGTCCGTATTCTTGTCTTTAAATAAATTAGAAGTAGTGATTTTCTCTTGTTTAGAACATCATGTTGTCGAAATAATTCGCTTTTTATTGTGTCGTTTGGCTGCACTCGGCTTCA